GATCCTGCCATCTCTAATAGGAAGAGTCTACCTGCTGATTTCAGATACGAGAATGTCGCCGACTACTTGTCTTCTAATCCACAGGTAAAAATTTGTTCACATAAAAACTTGTATGTATGGTATGAATTCCAATGTCGTATGGAAAATCATATGGCGGGGGAATGTTGCTTTTACTTTGTAAATATTTTTAAAATACATTGCCTTCTAATTAATTGATTATAGACATATTGCCTTCTAATTAACTAATTATAGTTTATTAACAGGCATCCTGATGCCTTTAATTTTAGCGTTCGCGCGGCACTAAAATTTCATGCAGTAATTTCTGTGTCTGGTGCGTGATTTAAACAAATCACGCCATCTGCGAAAATTAAAGCTTTATAAATGATGCTGGTAAAAAATGGTTTTCAAAAAAATGACGAACAACCAAAACGTGACCCTCTTGTTCTATTGGTCGCACTGACTTACCAATAAACTGACCACTAAGAAACTCAATTACTTACGGACTTACCACCACTGACCAGTAGTAGCTAATGGTTCCTTCGGTAGCGTTAAATTGAAAGCTAACGGAGCTGCTTCTTTTTGAATATTCTAACCACCCACCACTAAATTAGTCTACCAAGTTAAACATCTTGATTAGATTTTAGTGGGATACTCTCTGTTCGTTAAACCACTTCTGCGGTTGAACTGTTAAATCATTAAAATGAGCAACTAGTGGAGGTTGGTTCAGTTCTAACCCAGAGATTTGGCATTTTCGATGGTTTGAAAGTAATGAAAATATTTCGTTACTTTCGCCATTTCTATATTCGCTGCGAGATGAGCAATTTTAAAAGCGAGATTAAACACAATCCGCATTTTTTAACCACCGGCCTAGATGATGACTCGATAATTTAAATGGTCAAAATATCGCGAAACTTAAAGTTTTTATCGTTTTAACCATTTATAATTATTGGAGAAATCTCGACATCTCGACGGCGCGAAAACAGCGATGATCCCCCAAAGCTAATAACATACGTTTATTTAAACAGCTCTGCTCTAAGAGACAGCCGTCAGAATTTCTGTAAATGACTATCAAATATCCCCGATATTAATTCGGAGACATCCCTCCACTTCCTCGACCCTCTGCCATCGTAATTTCAACTCAATAACCGTTACCTGATTGTAATATCACTGCTTACAATTGAACCGCTCAAACGCTTCTCAAATTGACACCACCAGGACAAGCACCAGATTACACAAGCTACAGATTATGCCTTTAAGGGAGCGCTCACAACACTAAAACCGTCTCTCTCCTTCCTTCTCTCTCTTGCTCTCAGCTAGGCCGGTTAACTGTTACTTCATCTTCCCGTTCTAGTTATGTTAACCCCATATGACTCTCTCGCAGAGTATATTAACACTAAGTTAGCACTTTGTTTTATTTCTGGTAGATTACGTGATCTCTCTCTCTCTTGACACACCACGCCCTGTATAAATACAATATACCGGTAAAACTGCTCACAGTTGTCTTTATTAACTGTTTAAAGTTATTTGTCAGCAGTTTTACAGTTGCTCGTATTGGTCTGCTCGGACACAGACTATGTTTAACTTTGTTTCCACAACAGACGCTGTTGTCCCACCCCACTCAGCTGCAGCTTGAGTACAACCTGCTCGTATAAGCACACACAGCAGTATATTACGTACGTTCATTATCTCAGCTTTCAGTTCTCAGAAGTGGAACTAGAGATCATGCCTCGCTCTCTCCAATCTATAATTTTGGCACCTAGCGTTTATTTTATATGTCCACCGCAGCATCTTGTAGTTCGTTTTAATGGATGTGTCAAAAGAAGTCATACTATCAAGATCAGTATCGAGAGCTGTATTTCACTTTGAGCTTTGCTTTGATAATTGTTACCTGCTAGGATTCTGACCATCTGTCTTAATACTCGTGTGTCTGGGTACTGACACAGTGTGCTGTTCCTCTTTCAAACATCTTTCTGGGAGCTTCAGGACGGCTGTAAGTGTTACAGTAGGATTCAGGACCGTCTGGGTGGACTGGATCCTCCCCCGGATTCAGGACGGTCTGTATCCGGGGGGAGGTTCCAGGGGTGTCTGGGAAAGGATTTAGTGGCAGCCGGTACTGCAGTGAGGTGTGCTCGTACTGCTGGTAACGAGTTGTTGAAACTGTTGCTGTCACTACAGGTGGTGTTCAGCTGTTTTGTCACCCTCTCTCTCTCTCTCTCTCTCTCTCTCTCTCTCTCTCTCTCTCCTCTCTCTCTCTCTCTCTCTCTCTCTCTCTCTCTCTCTCTCTCTCTCTCTCTCTCTCTCTCTCTCTCTCTCTCTCTCTCTCTCTCTCTCTCTCTCTCTCTCTCTCTCTCTCTCTCTCTCTCTATCTCTCTCTCCCTCCCCTTCTGGAGTTTCTGGAATGTAGTCTTTATTACTCTCTCCTCGTGTACCGTGTTGTGTACAAGTCTTGTTACCGTGTCCACACCTTCTTGCTGTGCAGAGAGCAGTGCTCTCTGTATAACATGCAGCTTGCCAACTAGTCGCTACCTAGTCGCTACCTAGTCGCAACCTAGTCGCTACCTAGTCGCTACCTAGTCGCTACCTAGTCGCTACCTTGTAGCACCCTAGCCGTTATGTGGATACTTTTCTGCTGACTGAGAGTCGCTACCACTTCACGAGGAGACTGGATTCTGCGACTGATCGGTTTCCATGGAGCTCCCAAATTATTTTGCATAATAATATGCCAACTTTTAGTGTCCTAATAACAGTTACTACTTAATCTTTTGGCTTCTTAACCTATCGTCCTAACCTTCCTGCTGTCGCAACCTTGTAACAACCCAGTCATACCCTGCTTACCTGCAACTTACCTGCAGCTTACCTGCAGCTTACCTGCAGCCAGATAGTCACGTACTTCTTGTCTTCTTGTCTTCTTGTCTTCTTGTCTTCTTGTCTTCTTGACCTCCACTCTGTTGGAGCTCTGGGAAGGAAGAGGGGTTATTATTAACCATTACTTTGTGAGATGGAGTATAATCCTGCAACTTAATACCAAGTTTTAAACCTGGTGTAATGTTATTAGTCAATAACTGTACGTGTTAGTATTAAACTTGTGCTGTTAATAGCTGGATCTCTCTGAGATTGATTACCTAAAATGTTTAGCAGCTTTCCTCGACTTCTCTCGGGCATATAATCGAGCATATAAATTAAAATCGGGCTTTTAATCGGGCTTATAATCGGGCATATAATCTGACTTATAATCGGGCATATAATAATCGGGCCTCCTTCAAGCGTACTAATTACAGAGATATTACAGGTTAACAAGTCTACTTACATTTGTTGCAACTTTGACTAACAAGTTTACCGTTCTTACATTTGTTGCAGCGTTAGGCGGTGTGATTACTCTTCAGTAGCTTGAGGTCTGTGTCCTAGCACACACGTTGTGTGCCGTGCTCGTGCAGGTTGTGGCCCAGATCGGTGTGTAGATTGTCCATATGTGTGTGGGGAGCCGGTAAAGATTGCCTAATTTAGTGATTACCCCGTAACCTGACTCAGTTCTCTGACTCATCTCACCACGGCGCTGTGAAGAGTCGTGACAGCGTTACATCACGATGAAGAGTCGTGACAGCGTTACATCACGATGAAGAGTCGTGACAGCGTTACATCACGATGAAGAGTCGTGACAGCGTTACATCACGATGGAGTGTGAAGTGTGATGTCACTCCGCACAATGCATCACAGTGTAACGCCACAATATCCCGCCATTTGACCTCCGCAGTTCCCTACTCAACGCTCATTTTCGTTCTCTCTCTCTCTCGCTATCTCTCTCTCTCTCTCTCTCTCTCTCTCTCTCTCTCTCTCTCTCTCTCTCTCTCTCTCTCTCTCTCTCTCTCTCTCTCTCTCTCTCTCTCTCTCTCTCTCTCTCTCTCTCTCTCTCTCTCTCTCTCTCTCTCTCTCTCTCCTCTCTCTCTCTCTCTCTCTCTCTCTCTCTCTCTCTCTCTCTCTCTCTCTCTCTCTCTCTCTCTCTCTCTCTCCTCTCTCTCTCTCCTCTCTCTCTCTCTCTCTCTCTCTCTCTCTCTCTCTCTCTCTCTCTCTCTCTCTCTCTCTCTCTCTCTCTCTCTCTCTCTCTCTCTCTCTCTCTCTCTCTCTCTCTCTCTCTCTCTCTCTCTCTCTCTCTCTCTCTCTCTCTCTCTCTCTCTCTCTCTCTCTCTCTCTCTCTCTCTCTCTCTCTCTCTCTCTCTCTCTCTCTCTCTCTCTCTCTCTCTCTCTCTCTCTCTCTCTCTCTCTCTCTCTCTCTCTCTCTCTCTCTCTCTCTCTCTCTCTCTCTCTCTCTCTCTCTCTCTCTCTCTCTCTCTCTCTCTCTCTCTCTCTCTCTCTCTCTCTCTCTCTCTCTCTCTCTCTCTCTCTCTCTCTCTCTCTCTCTCTCTCTCTCTCTCTCTCTCTCTCTCTCTCTCTCTCTCTCTCTCTCTCTCTCTCTCTCTCTCTCTCTCTCTCTCTCTCTCTCTCTCTCTCTCTCTCTCTCTCTCTCTCTCTCTCTCTCTCTCTCTCTCTCTCTCTCTCTCTCTCTCTCTCTCTCTCTCTCTCTCTCTCTCTCTCTCTCTCTCTCTCTCTCTCTCTCTCTCACTCTCTCTCTCTCCCTCTCTCTCTCTCTCTCTCTCTATCTCTCTCTCTCTCTCTCTCTCTCTCTCTCTCTCTCTCTCTATCTATCTCTGCACATCCTCCCGCTCTCCTACTGTATATTTACCTGTACTTTAAAACATTCCTCCAAATCCTCACCAGGAGACTATCATACACTGCTCCGGCTTCTCTCTCCGGGTCTCTCTCAGCAAACTCTTCATTTAGCCGGTGGTTATTATAGTGTCTAGTGAAACTGTCTGCCAGCCTTCAGCTGGGTATGTAACACTTGTCCTTCTAGCCTGGTGTTGTTGTGGAGAGACCCGGCCCTTCTCTACTATAGAGACTATAGCGCCCCTTATAGCGCCCATCTGTAGCGCCCGCTTGCGGAACTTGTAGTGTCCGTTTCTCGTCATTTATTGAAGTTGGGAAGCTCGGTAGGGTCTTTGTTTTAACTTGCGCTCGGGCGAGTCATTGAGTTAAGTTGCCGCTTGTATTGATACCTGTGTGCCGATATAGTAAGAATATAATACACTCTTATACGCTCTTTTTCTGTGTTATACCCGCGGACTGTTACCCTGCTTCACTGTTACGCTGTATTGTGGGGTTTTGACTTGACAAAAGCTTTTGCTGCTGTTTTTCGTGCTCGGTGCAGCTCTTTAGTTTGGTCAGATTTCTGTTCTGTTCGCTATTTGTGAAGGTTTCTCTCGTGTGCAGTAGAAATGTTAGGTAGTATTGTGACATTGTTTTACAGTGTGACAGCGTTGTAACATTGTAACAAAGACCCCGAACCCAGGTTAATGTATCACCATGTTGACTCCCTCCTTCATCCGAAATATCTACAAGAAAAAAGACCACGCCCGACGTAACAGCCAAGCTCTCCGGCCCCGACGCTACATCGACGAGATCAAGGAACTATCAGCCGAGTTCGAGTGTAACACAAACCACAAGGTCAAATCAGCGGAGAACTTGTGCAGTAGTAATGTGAGCCCTCCCCAGTTAGGGCCAAGGAGTTATTCTACTAGTTACAGTTCCACTCTACCCAGATCAACGCTTCATAAGTCCGGGGTAAAGTTATTTGATGTAATTTATATTTTAAACACAGACTTACAGATCGACACGATTAAAAACTAGTTCATGATATCTTTTGATGCTTGAACATCATAAATTATAACCAACACTGCGCGACATGTCGCGCTATACCTCCCAAGAAATTTAATCCCATCGTCTACAATCCCCAAGTGGACATATTACGGCAAACATATTTCCTTTGTTAGCCCCTGACCTTGTATGCCGACCCCTAGTAACGCTCCCCACCCATAGTAACACCCAGCTACTAAACTTCCCTAGAAACATTGTCAACTTACTTCGGACGTTCTAATTATTCAGCCCCGGGTTCAACTGTGGCTTCCTTTTAGCTGTCAAGTAGAATACTGAGGGAACACCCAAAATGTAAAAATACATTCTAGTGATAGCGCTCAACTTCAAAGTTAATCAGCTAATTAAAAATCTGGATAATAAGTTTCATGGCGAGTATTCCGTGGCGTACCAGCTGCGGACCGGTCATATTCTGACTTATTATGTGTAATTATAGCTTAATTATATTTAATTATTAACGCGCGGAGAAGATGTGCCGTAACTAATATTACCGATAAGTCTATTCACGGTTAGTTAGAGTGTGATTTTATTATCTGCTGACTGGTATATTTACCCACTTATTAGCCAGTTATTCTTTTGTTTCTTTTTAAAGGTTTTTAAACTTTCTCATCCCAAAGTATCGGATCTCTGATATTATCTAGACATTAGTAGTAGTACTTAGTAGTAGTAGTATCTGGGTGTTATATGCAGTGGATATGAGTGCTATAAAAAGAGTACGCTCTCTGAAAGCGTACAGGCGGAGTCATGGCACGAAGAATAGGGTTACCAAGGTGCGAAGTTGTGAGATGTACCAGTGATATATCTTATGTAATATTACTTGTATATGAGTCATATTTCTTATGTTTGAGTAGTATTTCTTATGAGTGAGTGATATTTCTTATATTATATATATAATGAATAATATTTCTTATGTTTAAGAAATATTTTATATATAATATATATATATTATATCTAGAATCTAGATTCTAGATCTGTATATTAATGCTTTTTATACAAGTTACAACAAAGTCTTCATGTTATGTATCCTGATTTTGGACATATAGTATTAAATGTCACCAAACTAGCACTATAGCAGTTTAAAACCAGTCCTTCGTAACAGACTTCGCTACAAAAGGGGTATCAGTTCCTCTCGACAGACACTCACCAGAGTATATAATAATATTCTACACATGATATTATAGCCTGGTTAACAACCCGCGAGAAGAAATTTTAGGTTTCCTAAAAGTGCCAGAAGTAAGTGCGCGACGGCACAAATTTGATTAGTTTGTAGAGCTGCTTAGTCGGACATGCTACCTTTGGCTGGAGTGATAGAACAGTGACGTAGATTGGCACTGAGAATTATATGTTGGTATTTGTAACTTTAACAATCGCGCGATTAATAAAGTGATGCGCGAGCGCGTGGTCGTAGATGGTTCTCTTCTTTCCAAGAATAATGCGTGCTCCCCGCTGCTTAGGTTAACTCAATACACAATTCACCCATTCGACCTCCAACTTATCAATAAATATTCATTCACAAAGTTAATCACTTTCTAATTAATTCATTAGTTAATTAAATGAATAATTAGTTAACCTGTTTGTTTTTTCAGGCACGGTCGTTACATGATGATACAGCAGATATTCCAGACAGACTCAACAGATCTAATTCACTCGAGTTTGACGAACATATCTCATCTATCAGAAGGTAAGATGCAGCTGCTTTTCAATATTTAACAAACCAATTATTTCCATCCCGTCATGTATTTTCTACTGTTGTAACGATAATTAAATAAATTATCATTACTTGTTGCTGCGGTAAACTAACAGCTATCTCCGGTTTAGGACCCACTCCGAAAAAGAGAAACCCGAAACAGAATCTTCAGAGTACTCTGGCATCTCCGGAAAGGTAAGATTTGTCATTAATAATGTAAATATTTTGTTATACTTAGTATATTTTTTAAAGAATTTATATGGTAGATTTTATTTCAGAAGTACCGTCAGGCACCTTTTTTCTAAGGGTTAGGACGTAAAATTCAGTGTCAAATGTCATGTGATTTATTCCTCCGAGATCACTGGACTTAACATCCTTTTTTAATTGTAATGTATATTGTATATATTAATTGCTTCCTATTTTAATTACAATGTACATTTCACATCACATCTGGGTCAGGGTAATAGTAATTTACTGAGGCTAATTTCAATTTACCACACTGTAGTTCAGCAAACCCTCTGTTTTCTCACCTGCCGGCGAACATGCCGACTTTATAGACGGGAAGTTGGGAATATAAACGTTGTAACTAGCTAAACCTTACCTCGAAAGTTACAGCATTTCTTATATCACCTATTATATAAGAATGTTGCGAGCAACAATTTTGTTCTCTCTGCAGAATTCTATATAATATTCCACTCTATTAGTTCTATATAATATTCCTCTCAGTAAAATGATGTATTTAGGAAAGTGGGGGCTCCTACAGTACTGATGGTTGCTAAAAGCCTAAATAAGATCGTTGTACGTTTTCCCTTCCCCCTCATTGCTTCCTATAAATATGGCTGCTTTTATCATATTATCCCTTTTTTACCGAGTTATCAGCCCACTCACTTTAAAATATTATCCCGCGACTTTTTCTTGAATTCTCAGTTCTCTCACCAGAGTAGATTTTTGCCGGTTATAATATTTTTCACTCTAAAAGTAATTTCCCTGAACGAAAAGTGATTTCCCTGAACGATTCGTATCAATTATCTAGTTTTAGGAATCAGGATACCACCAATCCGCACTCCGCATGTACCTCCATCCGTAGGAAGGGTCTCCATATCCTCCGATCACAAATATAGAAATAGCTAGCCTTGAGAGAGATGATCCCCTACAAATATCCCTCGCAAATACCTAACTTCATCGTTCTAATTACAATCACAAGTCAGTTCAGTGTTGGTGTCACAGTCGGTAAATGACAATAAAATAGTTGACACCCTCTCTACCTCCCTCCCCTGAACCCCCCTCAACTATGTGCTTCACAGTAAATAAATACGTTTACTGAGTACTTTGAACAGAGGTCACGTGACCACGCCGGCAGTTGGACGGCATGTCGTCTGAGTAGCGCGGTGTGAATATAGAACCGTGAACTTGAGTTTTAGTAACTATTAATGTAAATATTGTGAATATAATTACTGTGACTTATACTTTCCGATTTGTATAATTAGGTTTATCTCCAGCTCTCCGAAAAAAAATGTTCAAATGCCCCGCTCTAGAATGCAAAGATTGCCGCAGCTATTATAATATAATCAGTATTTGACAGAGAGAGAGAGAATCAGAAAGAGAACGTATAATTGCATTATTTCGCGACCCTCACTAAACGTGATGAACATTATATGGATATAATAATAATATGTAATAATTATTGTACTAGAAGTCAAGGTTTGAGTTGTGTGTGCGCGTACGTTCCTTACTCCGCTAGCGTTCCTCGCTTGCTTTCCTTTACTGTTGCTCTTTACTTAATACGATCCAGTTGCCGGTGTAGATCAATCACCCGCACTATTTTAACAAAATCAAAGACTTATTATGAAACATGCAGCCTTGTTGACGCAATTAACAACAGGTTTACGATGTGAGGTTGAGAATTGAGCTATTTATAACCTCACGTTTAACCTGACTGTACTCGACTTTTTCGATCTTCCGTTTTTTTATATTCCGGTAAATATTACCTTAGATTTTACACTGAATCTTAACTTAGTCGTTGTTCATGCTTGTTTCAATTAATCCCGTGCTCCTTTAAAATCCTGTATATTATAGCGTCTCATGTTGTCATCTGTCTTTAGTTCTATCTTTCGTCTTGTCTCAGTGTATTGCAAATATCTGACTTTAACACACTAGTCCCTGATGTGTCCAATATAATTTTAATGTATTGCCCGAAATGATTTTAATGCAGTGCCCGAAGTGATTTGTGACCCAGATGATGGGGTTTGGTTTGACAGATTACCAATTTGCCGAGCAATTCTGTGTTTCATATTTTTGACGTTTTGTTAAAATATTTTGTAACTGAACATAGTCGCCTCTTGACATGATATTTAAATAATCAGTTAAACCGGGGGGGGGGGAGGGGGTTCTTAACATTTTGAACTTGAAGCAAAATATTTCCTGTTGTTGAACAACAGTCGTGTTGAACTCCAGCCAAAACAGCTACTTCTACAACAAGATACGTCACGTATATCCGGTCTTCACAACACTTCACCTCCACTCTTTGATCTTCTTCTCTTCTTCTCCTCTAACATAGTTAAACACTTTTAAACTAGCCCCCGCCGCATCCAGCTATATTGGATTGTTAACACTTTAAAAACTCTCTCTTGTCACAGTTAATAGTCTCAGCTCTAGCTCCTTATTTGAAAGTTGATATGAAGGAAGTTGAGGGGAGGTGAAGTTAGGAATGTTGAGGTTTCTTCTGTTAGTGTGGTTCTCTCTAAACAGCTCAGATAAGATAACAGAGAGATAATACATGAGAACCAGTGTAGATAAGAATCACTGATAGGAGTGTGTGGCTACATTGTGGGGGTGTGACTGAATAATGCTGTGTGACCGGATCAGTAGTGGGGGAGTATCGGACTATTAATAGCTGCATTATTAATGCGACTATTATTATTAATCACGGCGGGGGAGGCAACTCTCGTATCACTACCTCCACTACTAATTTTATGTCAGTTTCTCATTTTGTTATCTTGAACTTGTGTCTATCTGTTCGACTCAATGCCTACAGCTAAAGAATCCACCTTGTTGACCTACCGCTGGGTGAGTCTCCACAAATTTCATATCATGGTCCAATCTTACCATACCATGGTATCTTCCATCAAGCAGATATTATCAGAAGATTTTAATCTCACATGTAAAATGGGAATGAGTGTAACATAAGATAAGTGTAAGTAATGTTACTTGAGTGTAAGATAGGAATGTTACTTGAGTGTAAAGTGTAACGACGCTAACAATCACAGCGGTCGTACAAAGTGAAGAAGAAGAGCCAGGGTCTAGTGTACCTGGTGTCACAGGACGGATCAGAACACCTCCCTGCAACTGAGCACTCTGACAAGGTAACCATGGACACGTGTACCGGGCTGTCAGTGTACTACACATTAATATTTGTTTCTTCGTTTGAACAGCTCCACTGCTCTCTCTCTCTCTCTGTTCTCCGTGTGTTTTGTCCCGTTTGTTTATTTAACCAGGTAATGTTTTTGGTGGCTCATTTTCTGTCCTGCTCCGATGTATATTTTCTGTCCTGCTTTTCTCTAGATATTATTTACTTAAGTCTGTGAAACAATATCGGTCTCATTGATATTAACCATTTATGATACTCTGAAACCAAACAACCAGAACGAACTCAACTATTTCAACATAGTTGAAACCCTGCTGTTAAGAGAATCAAATATTTCAACATAGTTGAAACCCTGCCAGTATAATATAACCGATAGTCAGTATCCGGCTGAAGTGAGTGACTGGTGACAGCTCACTTCCATCCTAGTTCTTCGCTTCTCTGGAAATAAGCTGTATCTCTCCTATCTAGATATGTATCTACTTGTGCTGTCTGGGGATATTACATTTTGCTCCCACTGTAAAACTATAGACTAGATAATATGGTATATACTAGATATCACCCCTACTGTGATACCACCTGTCATTCCCAGTTCCCTGTCAAATTTCCCGCCGATATTGATATATAAAGTTCCTTTATATTCCTGATCTCTTCTCCTGTCATCAAGCTTTAAACCCCTGTATCAGACCAATCACAACACTTCATCCCTTCTTCTCCACCTCTCCGATAGCACTCTATCATCACGTGACTCCGCCTCCACCAATCACCACGCCTTGTTTTGTCACGTTACCAGGGGAACCAATGAACCGCTCTGATGGCCTATTCACGTGACGTGGTAAACCAATAAAAAGGCCGGGTAGTTCACTCCGGGAATGTCCGCAGAAATTAGCCGACAAATAGGCTATTGTGTGTTGAATCAGGATTAGTTTTAACAGTTGTTGTTGTCACGGGTATTTCTCCCATGCCTGATGACAACCAGGTTAAGCTACCTTCTGATTCCACGCGTACATGTGTAGTTCTTAACAAATATGCGTTAGTTCTACCCCCAGACTTGGTTACATCTCCCTCAGTTTGATACGCTTTCCAGCCCACTAGTCAACTAGCCAACTAGCCAGCCTTCCCGCCAACTAGCTAGCTTTCCGGCCAACTAGCCAGCTTTCCTAATTCCTGTCAACTTGCCAACTTTCCGACCAACTAGCCATCTTTCCAGCTCCACATTTTGCCCAGCATTTCCTACCTTTTTCCTCAGAATCCCACTCTGGTGTCAACAAGCCGTTTGTTTTCAACATCTCATACTCTCGCTTCAAATTGTTCAATTAAAGCTCACTAAGTTTTAATCTGATAACTCGTCTCGTGTTGTGTGGTTAATTTACAAGAAACTGTGTGATTCAGGGAGTGTTCCAGTGGGCGGTGTTGAGAAGTCTGGAGTGTCACTTATTACCGTCTTATTTTCACGTAGCAGTTCGCTCTGGTGTGTTTTGGAAATTTATAATTGAAATTGTTGCTTCAGCTCGGTTTTGTGGTCGGAGTGTTTTTAGTCTTGTTTTTATCCACGTGTTGATTCTTAGTCTGGCCTTATTGGTACCTTTCAGTATTGGTACCTTCCAGTGCACTATAGGTTCACAAAAGGTACCTTTAAGTCGTTGTAAATCAGGTATATTTAGACTTTTAATAGCTGTATATAACTAAAAGGTACACATAAGTATCAAATAGTAGCCTAATATACCTATAAAGCTATAATATAACTATAAGGTACACAATATAACAGTAGCATATTACGGAGTTACTGCACACTACCACCACAGCCCCCCCCCCCCCCCCCCCCCCCACCACC